GCCTCCTCTGCCTTCCCTCCAAGCAACATGGAGATGGTGCTGGGGGGAACCGGCTTCTAAATTGACTCCCCCCAGCACGGTTCCTGGTTCCTCCCATCCTTCTTTAGTGCCTCTGATACAGAGGCAGCGGGGTGGGGGAAAGTGAGCAGTGTCAAGTAGTTGCTTACGTCTCTAGTATTGGTAGCATCATTTCCACTCAATACTTGTAACTTTATGCATAAAATATATTGAAAGTAATTTTTTGGACTTGTTATTTCTCAAGATATTAATATAAATAATCTTTATGCAGTAAAACATTAGTCCAAATTATATCAAATGGGTAATAACTGAAAGTTGCTGCCATATGAAGGCTCTTTATTGCCTATACAAAATGAGTTTGTGGTCTCAGTCAAATTCTCACTTGCAAGGAAACCACCTATTAAATGTAGTGGTTATTTTGTTCTTATGGTTGTAATTTTTTGCAGCATTAGGTATAGATGATTGAATACATGTGAAAGGCAAGACAGGAGAAGAATGAGGTTAAAACAGTTTAGGATGTTTACACTGCTCTGTCTGTTTCAGGGATTCTCCAACTTCATTGCAACATGATCTTCTGACACAAATTACTACAGGACCCCAGGAGGGGGGACTGAAGTTGAGCCCCCCAGAGCTCTGCTGCCCCAGGATAGGAGTAAAAGCATTGGAAACCTATAAGCTGATTCCCTACTGCCTAGTGTTGAAACCCTTGGGCTTTGGCTTCAGCTGTGGGCTCCCATCAAATCAGTCCTGGCAACTACATTAAAGTGGGATCCATTCGAGGGTCTTAACCCACAATTTGAGAACCACTTCTCTGTTATACCTCTTTTTTATAGGCAAATCAAGGATTTTGTTGACAAGTCATACAGCTCACTAAAGACTGCATATCAGTTGAAGTAACTAATATAAATCTGGGAGCATAGTAACCCAAAGGAGACATTATGTATTCAAAAAGTTTCGTAGCTGTTGTATTCAAGCATAATTAAGTTGGTGAGTCTTGCCGCCTCTTGTATATATTTGCAGAGTGCAGTGAAATGCATATAGCAGTTATATTTCATTTTCCTCATGCTTCCATTTAACTTCCATTTAATTATAAAATCTTTGTTGTCAAAATTGGTAGATAACACTAAGATTGGTAAAATACTAAATAGTAAGGATAGCAGATTTCTACAGTGATACGAATAGCCTGGGTAAATAATCACATCCAACAAAATGTCTTTAATACAGGTAAATGCAAGTAATGCATCTGGGAATGTAGACTGCTGGCTGACCTCAGTCTTGGAAAGCTGTGATTTATAGAAGGACTATAGATGGGAAGATAAGAATGTCCATACTGGGTCAGACCAAAGGTCCAGCTAGCCCATTATCATGTCTTCCAACAGTGGCCAATGCCAAATGCCCCAGAGGTAGTGAACATAACAGGGAATTATCAAGCAATCCCTCTCCCATCACCCATTACCAGCCTCTGACAAAGTCTAGGGACACCATTCCTATATGTCCTGGCTAACAGGTCTGTCAGCAGCTAACCTCCATGAATATATCTAGTTATCTTGAACCCTATTACAGTTCTGGTCTTCACAACCTCCTCTGCAAGAAGTTCCACAGGCTGAGGGTGTGTCGTGTGAAGGAAATAAATCCTTTTGTTTATTTTAAACCTGCTACCTATTACTTTCATTTGGTGACCCCTGGTTCTTAAGTTATGGGAACAAGTAAATAAGTTTCCTTATTCACTTTTTCCACACCAGTCACGACTGTATAGACTTCTAACATATCCCCCTTTAGTCTTCTCTTTTCCAAATGGAAAAGTCCCAGTGTTTTTAATCTCTCTTCATATGGCACCCATTCCAAACCCCTAATCATTTCTGTTGCCCTTCTCTGAACCTTTTCCAATGCCGATATATCTGTTTGAGATGAGGCGACCACATCTGTACACAGCAGTCAAGATATGGGCGTACCATGGTTTTATATAGAGGCAGTAAGATGTTCTCTCTCTTCTTCTCTGTCCCTTTTTAATGATTCCGAACATTGTTTGCTTTTTTCACTGCCGCTGCACATGAAGTGGGTGCTTTCAGCACCTATCCACAATGACTCCAAGATCTCTCTCTTGAGTAGTTACAGCTAAATTAGTCCCAATCATATTGTATATCTAGTTGGGATTATTTTTTCCAGTGTGCATTACTTTACATTAAATTGTAGATTACCATATCCGCATGAGCACTCAGTTTCCTTTTATACATCCAGATATCACACTGAGGCTTTTTTGACTATAGCATTGCACTATCAAATCACCTCCCTCTGTACACAGAAGGGCTACAAAAATAATCCAGGGCTGACAAGCAAGTCTTGTAAGACAAAGTTTGAATGAGCTCAATATATACTGTTTACTCAGTTTTCAACTTACTGAAAAGATGGTTGAAAGGGTGACTTGATCAGTGTGCATAGGTGTGTATATATAAACATGGAAAAGACATTTGATTGTATGGGGATTTTCAGTCTTGCAGACTAAGACAAAACAAAATCCAATTGCTCGATGTTGAAGTTGGATAACTTCATCCTTGATATAAGATGCAGCTTCCTAGCTGTGGAGATAATTAAGCATTGGAACACTACCAGGGGAGGTTGTGGATTCAATTTCACTTGGAAACATTAAAATTGATTAGAAATCTTTCAAAAATATACTTTAATCCATTTGTAGGAGGAATTCTATGTACTCTAGATGGTCAGGAGTTAGGTTTTATAATCTGTGATTCTCCCTGTTAATTCTTTCCCTTCACGTGATGGAGATCACCAAGAAGCTCTGCGTTGTGCTGTGCATACTCATAACACTTGCAGCTTACACTAAGATAACAACTGTAATCAGATATCATGCTTCAGTGTTTTGGCTGATTACTTGCAGGGATCAGGGGGGAAATTTTCCATCCAGTACACAATTGGCCAATTGTGTTCTGCCTCTCCTGATCCCTGCAAATATCCAGCAAAAACCCTGGTGGTACCTCCACATTCTTCTGTCTTCTGCCCATGGCACACTTCAGTTTAGCTTCCAGAGGGCTGAAGTGTTTGGGTACAATATAAGGGTTATTTGGTGAAATTCAATGTCCCGTGATACATAGGAGGTCAGATTAGATCAGTGGTCACCAACCAGTAGATCGGGATCTAACAGTAGATCTTGGAGCTTCTGACAGATGATCCTGACTAATTTGACTGGGAAGCTATCAGGCGCTGACACTTCAGTTGCCCCTTCACCCACTGTCGTGCTGCTCCTGCCCTCTGCCTTGGAGCTGCTCCCCTGGAAGCCTCCTGCTTGCTACGCAGGATGCGGGAGGGAAAAGAGGGGGGCCTGCTAATGTCAGGGTGTCCCTCCCGCCCACTTCTGTACCCTATTTTCACACCGAGAAGGGGATGGAGGGAGCTTGACAATGCAAATCTGTCACTCTTACACTGTATGTCTCTCTTATTCTCACAAACACACACTGTCCTGCATGCTCATCTCCTGACCCAACACGTATGTGGGGGGTTGTTGTTACTACTTTTACTGCTTGCAAAGTGTGTTTATTTTTGACTGGTCTGTGCGTTTCATAATTTTCATTTCTCTCTTACACTTAAATTTAATTCTTTGAGTAGTGAGTTCTAAATTGCCTAGCCTGTTGTGGCTGTAGTAATTATCCTTGTGGTAATTGCTGCTCCTGGAAGTGGCTGGAATATACTTGTGGTCCCTGAGAAAGGCGAAGCAAAGGATCTCTTCACATATTGTCCTTGCTTGCAGACACCACTCCTGCAGCTCCTATTGATCAATAATGGGGAACCATGGCCAGTAGGAGCTGTGGGCTCAGTGCCAATAGATGAGGGGCAGTACATGGTGCCATGGAGCCATTCCTATACATGCCAGCTGCTTTCAGGAGTAGTACAGGGCCAGGGCAGGAGTAAGCCTGACTTAACTCCACTGCTTCACCATGCAGAAGCAGTCTATGCTTCCTCAACCCCTGTCCCAGCCCTGAACCTCGTCCTACACTCAACCTCCTGCCTCAGACGTGAGTCCCCCCCCATACCCAAACTCCTACCCAGAGCTTGCACCCTGAAACCCCTCCTAGAACCCAATCCTTCACCTGGAGCCCCACCCACACTCTGAACCCTTTGGTCCAAGACCAGAGCCTGCACTCCAAACCCCTACCCCAGCCTGGTGAAAGTGAATGAGGCTGGGGGAGGAAAGAGGATGGAGTGAACAGGGTGAGGCTTCGGAGAAGGGGTGGAGCAGTGGCAGGGCATCAGAAGGGGTGGGAAGGAAGTGGGACAAGGATAGATCTTACATTGCACTTAAATTGAAAAAGTGATCTTGTGGTTAGAAAGGTTGGAGACCACTGGATTAAATGATCAAGTGGTGTCTGTTCTTAATTGTTCATTCCTGCCTTAATCTTTTTGAAACTATTTAACTTTTACATTACAGTAAATGCCTTCAAATGATTCAAAAGCGGCGAGGAGTCCTGTGGCACCTTATAGACTAACTGAAGTGTTGGAGCATAAGCTTTCGTGGGCAAAGACCCACTTCGTCAGATGCATGTAGTGGAAATTTCCGGAGGCAGGTATAAATGTGCAGGCCGGAATCAGGCTGGAGATGACGAGGTGGATCCAATCAAGGAGGTTGAGGTGCCACAGGACTCCTTGCCGCTTTTGCAGATTCAGACTAACACGGCTACCCCTCTGATACTCAAATGATTGTTTGGGAAGACCATTTAAATCCCTTTGTTTTTTCTATCTTTGTGAAGATTCTTGCGAGCATATTGAACATCAGGGATTTTACAATGCAGTATTTATAATCTTGGACTCTGTATGTGGGGACAAGAGAAGAAGTTATTCTAAAATTTTCAAGGAAATATTTCATTGTAAAATATAAACCATTTTAATTCTCAAAAGATTATTATATGGTAATTGTGTAAACAGTTTGCCACCTGGTCCTTCAATTAAATAAAACAGCACATTCTTCTTTATAGGTCCAAGAGGGCTAACGTTTCACTAGAGCCATAACTAGAATGGATAATTATTTTAAAGCAGCAGTCTGTGACCTGGACAAACTACTTGATGAATTTGAGCAAAATACAGGTTAGTTAGATCTTCGTGGTACACTTTTTTTTTTTTTTTGGTTGTGTGTGTGTTTTGTTTTCCTCATTTAAAAAAAATGTAAATCATTAAGAACAAGAGGAAGTGAAAATACTTTGGTCTGTTGTTTATAAGTGGTGCTGGCTTTTGTTTTAAATAAAACTTTTGCTAGGTGGGAGGGCAGTAGGAGGAACCTGTTTTATAAGTTTTGTTTTTGATCTCCTTCTGTTTTCAAATAGATGAACTTGACTGCTACAGAACAGCTGCAGACCAGTGCGAGTCAATACAGCATTCATTCTCTTCAGAATTGGATCATTTACAACCTGTATCCCTAGTTTCCAAAGTGCAAGAATATGTTAGCAGTTGTAATACGTTACAAGAACTCTCTCTAGACAGTCAAGCTACAACAAATATAGCAAACTTTGAACTGAGTTCCGCAGCACAAAATGAGAAAAATGTTACTGGACTCGATCTTCTGTCTACTGTGGATGGTGGGGTCTCAAATGAAATTCAACCTTTGAGCCTGGGGAGGTGTAGTATACCCATATGTGATCTCATCAGTGACACAGGTAATTCGATCCTTGCAACAAGTAGTCATGAAGATATTCAGAAGCTGCAGCCAGATGACTTCCAGTGCAATGAGAACTCTTTGGTTGGCTTTGATTTATCTTTAGTACCAGGTACAGTTTGTAGTTCTTCAATGGGTTTCAACAGTGTTTCAAACACAGAGCAACAGAATGGTGGGGACTCAGCACTACAAGATGCAGGACATCTGCCAACAAAAGAGTTAAGCCAATTAGATTTTAAAACACATAATTGGAGTAAAACAAAGCTCTCCGATTCATGTGATGGTCAAAATAAGACAGAAACTTTAAAGGATAATAGAGTATTTGATCAGGTGGAACAAATTACAGGCCTTAATGCTACATCTGCCTTTGTAAAATCACAGACTTCAAATACAGTTATTTCCAAAGATGACCTAACATTTGAAAAGCTGCCTTGTGAATCATTGAAAGATGAAAGTCCTTGTGGTATGATAAGTCAAGAGGCACCTGAAGAGAGTGTTGTTGAAAATGTAGATTCAAAAGATGAAGGTAATGGGGAATCCTTGCTTTCTGATCTGCCAAAGAGTTCTGAGTTAAACAAAATCAGTTTAAAATTATCTGGAAAATGCATTTCACCAGACTTTACATCTCAAATAGAGGATAGGATAGTATTAGATAATATAAAAAATACAGAACAAAACTTGTGCAATCCAGCCCTTCATACCAATGAAATATTGCACAATGTTTCAACTTCATATGTAACTGCTGAAGATGTTCAAACCTCATTGTCGTGTCTTCCACTTCCTGTATCCATATGTGGTCCAGTAGTTGTAACAGAAGACAAAATTGGTCATATACCTCACAACGAAATAGCAGATGTCATCAGTGATACTGTGACTATGCATGCAGGAAAATCTAAGCATGGATTCCCTAGTATGGAATCCTTTGGAAAGATGAAAGCTTCTGAACCGGAAGAATACCTAAAACAAATCAATCAGTGCTTTGTGGAAGAAATTATAACTTTAGAGGGAGAGAAGGGGGAATCTGATGAAATTAATAAAGATGATTCTCCCCAAATACACACAGGTGCTGATGGCCCTGTTCCAGAATCTAAAATTGAACTGTGCAGTGATGGTTTTCAGCCAGTTGACATTCATGATGAAAGTATTACTTGTCCAGCTTTAGCTGACTTAACTTTTGAGGAAGACTTCACTAAAAGTCTAATTAGTGATGCAGAGCTTGATGCTTTCTTATCTGGACAGTGTCTTCAGCCCAATAATTCAAAGCCATTTGGAGAAGAAATGGATGAATTGCCGCAGACTGATACAAATCAAGTGAACTTAGTAAATGTAAATAAGCTGGATTTCAAAAAGGTCAATGAATCACAAACAAAAGCAAAACTGGAGATCAGAGATCGGAGAGATGAGATTAATAGTACTTGCAGGGTAGCTGATATTGACTATAAATTAGAGACGCCACCAGAAAAAAGTACATATCCTATTCAGCAAGAGGTCTCTAGCCATATAACTGAGACTAATATTGAAATACCTGTGTCTGCTCTTAGTCATCAGAATGTACATATTGGAGGTGCTAGACCTAAACAATTGCTTAATCTTCCTCAAAGAAATATACCTGAGAGAGAGATCAGCAAGACAAATATGCCTAGCACTGAATTCCAGGAAGTGAATACCACACCCATAAAGGCCCCTTTTTGTGAAACCAAAATTAGTACTGACATAAGCTCCAATTGTAATCAGTCTGATACAGAAAACAGTTTGGAAGCAGGAGGAAGTTGTGTGCATGCAAATGTAGAACCTGTTAAAGTTCCTCTAGTTCTGGGACAAAAACAACCAGCCTGGGTTCCTGATTCAAAGGCACCCAACTGCATGAACTGCCAAGTCAAGTTCACATTTACAAAAAGAAGACACCACTGTCGTGCATGTGGGAAAGTAAGTTATGAAAAAATGCTTTGTATTATTCAATTTTTTACCATGTATTGTTACAGCAGGGGTATTTAGCCTGTGTCTGTGGACCCCTGGGTCTGACTGTCTTAAGATTTCCAAAGAGGTCTGTATCTCCATTCAGAATTATTTAGGGATCTGCAAATGGAAAAAAAGATGAAAACCACTGTATGGAATCATAAGACCATTCTGACTTAGTTTCCTTCTTTTAATATTTTGACTTTGCCTTATAATTAGTGCTATTTGTTTTTTAGGCTATATCAACCTGTCATTAGTAAACTTTTTTAAATTAAATTTAATACTATATTTTATAACGAGTTACAGATTGTAAAATATGAAGTATTAAGCAGAGATATAAGATTTTACTGTGAAAATAGAACTGAGGGGTAAAAATCTTACCCTATGACCAGTGTTCCATCTAATTTTTCCATCTAAGGGTGGAATAAATGTTATGTGCACTGAGGCATGTGCAGATGTGCACCACTAATAGAAATGAGCAAAAGCTCATTTGATAGTTGACTTGTTCCTTGACTAGTCACTTGCCCCTCCCTCCCCTCTGCTAGAGGCAGCAAATGCGGGGAAGGCAGAGATAGGGGCCTTCAAAGCAGCAGCACTACCCAGAGTACAGGCTCAGTGTAGTGCCATGGCGGCGTTTCAAAGGGGTAGCACCACATAGCTGACCCTGGGCTCTGCGCGGCATTTCCGCAGAACCTGAAGTCAGCTGGGGACTCCTCAGCTGACCATGGTCTCCACTCATTATTTCCACAGAACCTGGATCAGCTGGGGAGCCTCATAGGTGCAGCATTTCAAAGCGGTAGCGCACTTCATCTTGTGCATTTCAAAGTGGCAGCACCCATGTGGAACCCAGAGTCATCAGGACTTCCTTCTGCTCCCAGGCTGCATGCAGAGTTCCAACTTTGAAATGCCAAGACCCCCCCACTGGGCCTTTTGTACATTTCAAAGGAGCAATGCAGAAGTGCCTATCGACTAGTCAATGGATATTCCATTGGCTACTCGACTAGTAAATTAATCGCTATTTAACATCCTTACTTCTGTCAGAGGCAGCAATGGGGGGAGCAGGAGCTGGTGCTGGGGGGAGTCTGCTTAAAAGCCAGTTCCCCCCAGCACTGTCTCCTTAGGGGCAGAGGACTCAGGGGGGTTAGTGGAGACTGGTTGATTCCCAGCTCGTGCCTCATCCCAGATGCGCCTCTGCTTTTTAAAGGTATGAAGAGCCGACAGACTTGTGCAGGGTCCACCCTGATGCGCATTAACCTTTTAAAATGTATTTTAAAAGGGGACAGGCTCTTAATCCATTTAAAAGGCTGGTATGCAGCGGGGGGACCTTGCAAGAACTGGGAATCAGCTGTCCCGGCTCGTGCTGGATCCCTCCTCCTGTGCTTTAGTTTTTTAAATGGATAAAGAGTCTGTCAGCTCTTAATACATCCAAAAGACAGAGCCACAACACGGTTAGCTCAAGGCTGGGAGCTAACCCCACTGTGGCTCCTCGCTTACCGACAAGGCGATGGAAAATCCATTGACTAGTCAATAAGTTTAATCAACTAAATTTAACATTCCTAGGGGGAGGCTGTAGGCCCTCTGCTAATCTGATGGGTGGCATTTGTATTTCTCCTGGGCAGATGCCAAACTGCTCATATTAAAGGGGACCTTGCCTGTGACCTATTATTTGTCAACTTAAGCTGATTATTAAGATTTTTTTTCTTTTGGTATACCAACTTTTTCTTTACCTTCTAAATGATGTTAAAGATTTTTCAAAACTATTACATCTTAATGAAATATATGAAACTCAGGGCTATGTGGAGACAACTCAGAATTACTCTTAATCGTGGTAATCTGTGAAGTAGTTGGCGTAAGGAATAAGGTTTGCTATTTTCAGCTGCTATTTTCCACTGTATGTGAGTAATGTGCTTTGGAGCTAATATATTATGCAAAATCATTGAGTTAAAAGATTATTAAGATTGCAGAGTCAAGCACTCCAAAGTTGAGATGCTAGAATTCAGGATATTATCCTAACACCTGGTACCCCTCATCTTGAATGAGTATCTGACTGTGCTAGGTTATGGACCAACATAGAACAAAAGATCCGTGCCACAAAGAGCTTAGTCTAAGCCTGTGTCACATTAATTGGAGCCTTAGTGCATATACTTTAAAATCATTTTTAATTATATGATTACATATTTTATATCAGGGATCCCCTGCCTCATTCAGTATAAAAAATGAATAGCATTCACTTACTAAGCAGCAAGCTGCTATTGAATATTTTATTTTATCTTGGTTCAGTGGGTGGCCCTATACTTTATTTATTGCACATCATTTAAAGCCTGGTCTGAATACATAATTAATTTCTCCATAGGCTTTTCTGTGCCACTCCATCACTATAGAGGGCGAGTGCTTCATAAATAGGAATACATTTTACTGTTATATTACTCCCGTGAAGTGATAGTATTATTCCCATTTTACACACAGGAAGCTGTGGCCCAGGCATTAAGGTCAAGAGTGTAAACTAATTTTGGGTGCTCAATTCGAGATGCCTAATACCTGATTTTCTTCAAAGTACTTGAAGTAAATTTATTTTTATCATTTCACATGGCCAAAGCACATCTGCACTGATTTTAGTTAGAGCTGAATGCTCAGCACTTCTGCATATACCACAACAGGTGCTTCAGAAAATGATCAAACCTCCAGAAAATGAGAAACATATTGTTAATGACTACCTGTGGGATTTAAGCAAGTAGTCCAGAATCATATGGAGGCTCAGTGTCAGGCAGAGAGAGAACTTGGTTCTTCAGAGGCACATTGAACTGCTGTTACCATGGGACCATCTTTTCTTTTCCTGCTGTCCCCAGCCATATTCATCACATACCTTCTAACTTCCTCATTAAATGAGACAGAAGCCTTACACACATGTCCTTTGTTATGCCATCCTGTTTCATCCTCAGAGCTGATCTACTCTGTGCCTGGCTACAGTAGGAGTCCTATAGAAAAAAATAGTATGTAATGGAGATTTGTATCATAATGCATACTTGCAGGGTGAATATATGAGTTTATAGGTAACATTAATTCTGATATTGCCAAACTTTTGAGTACTAGACTTCACAAACTTATTTCTCTTTCCCCCCCCCCCCCCCCCCCCCCCCCCTTTTTGTGTGTAATTTGTGGAGCTTTTTTTAAAAAAGGAAATCTGGGGAGATGTCATAGCCCTTTTTATAAGGGTGTAAATGCAGTTGCTTCACTGTTATTGCAGAAAATGAATGGAATCTGCTCCCATATAGTCAGGCTAGGTTTTCCTTCAGTCTAACTTACCTATTTGTTGTAATTAAGAGGTGTGGAGGAAATCTGTACATAGTCTGACTTGTTCCAGGAATCTTCAGGGCCTTTATTGGTTCTATATTGGGCTTGGAGCCTTATAAGTGCTACAAAATGTATATTGATGTGATGCTGTTGGAAGCAGCCATCTTGGTGCTCACTTCTGACATGATTTCCCTTGGCCCCATTACCACACCTTTCCTCCAGTACTGACACTTCTGTCTTGGCATAGTGAGTGTATGTAGATTCCCATTAGGATTAAAAGGAGGAGACCAGGACAACAGGGTAAACACAGGAGAGTACAAGTGCTATTCTTTGTATTTCCTGGAACACACAAGCCTTGAAGTCTCAAATGGCACAGCTGTCATCTCGTGAGTTCCTCTGGAGCCAGCATATGGTCCTCAACCAGCTTGGACGCCTTCATTGATTTGGATTCTGAAAACCCCTTTAATCTCTTTGGGCCTGAGTGAGGGAACACCACTGAGACTACTAGACTTTCTTACACCTACCGCATGCTTTTCTGCTGACTGATTCTGTTCTTGTACCAAATTCTCTGGTCTTGATCTGGAACCATCTCAGAGACTTTGAATCTTTCTGGAAATGAACCTTTAGGGTACCCTGCTTTGACCTTGATATTCTGCATATCTGCTCTTGCTTCAGACATCGTGGAAACATTTCATTCAGGGCCCTCTTAAGTTCCTCATGTGGCCTGAAGTATAGGACTTTGGAGTCAACAAGACCACATCTGGCACTGACCTGTGCGCTGACACCTATACCATTCCTCCTTTGGCACTGCTCATCTCTAAGCTGCCTATTCACCTGGCCCTGATTCACTCTTTCTTGCTGACTCTGGACTCCTCACAACTTCAGGGGTAGCTGCCTATATCTGATGAATGGGATGAGACTCCTTTAGTGGAACATACAGATTGGTGCATCATCTGTTTTCCCCTCCTGATAAACTGATCATTTCAGAAACTCTTGGAGGTAGGCAAATACGCTCAAATTGCACAGTTTCATCAGAGACATCTGATACCTTATTGGACATGTTGCAGATGAAGACCAGGGAGAAGCTTGCTCTGATTTTCAGTCCAGCCAAGGATATCTGGCTTATTCCTTTTAATCCCCTGTCTCTAAGGGTACGTCTAGACTACGTGCCTCTTTCGCCAGAGGCATGTAGATTAGGCTACCAGACACAGTAAAATGAAGCGGCGATTTAAATAATCGCCGCTTCATTTAAATTTACATGGCTCAGCACGATGGTCGACAAATACCTCTTATGTCGCCACCCGCGCGTCCAGACTATCACGCTGAGCCGACAAACAGCTGATCAGGGATGAGGTATACCTGGGTGGTCGACAAATACCTTTGATGTCGGAAGTGGCGATTATTTAAATCGCTGCTTAATTTTACTGTGTCTGGTAGCCTAATCTACATGCCTCTGGCGACAGAGACATGTAGTCTAGACGTACCCTAAGAGAAGACCAGATGTATCACAGACGAATAAAAGAACATAGAACATTCAAGTTCTTCTTCGAGTGATGTCCCCGTGGGTGCTCCACTACAGGTGTCGGGCTCGTCCCGGCGCCACAAACCGGAAAGTTTTTGCTAGCAGTAGCCCCCTCCGGAGGACCGCGCATGTTCAGAGCGTCCCGCGGCGTTCGCGC